GAGGGGCCTCGCATTTAACTAGAACATTTTTCATTAAGCCATAGCTATCCAGTCCTTCAGGAAAAGTCACTCCAAGCTTCACTAGCTTGGACTCTGGACAGAATTTTACCAGGTCTCGTCACCAGGCATCTAGCAAGTCACACGATCATCCGTTTCTCCAAGGTCTCCATAACATTGCATTGCTGCTCAGAAAAGCACTTAAGTAGGGACCAGTATGTGATGTAATGGTTACGTTGCTGGACTCCCACATAGTCGACCATGATTTGAGTTCTGGACCTGGCAGCTTAAAACTCACACCAGGTGTGTGTGCGTGTGTGCCCAAAATCCCGAGAGGAGAATGGAGGAAAGGGATTGTAGTGTGGCCATCCCCCCTCGGGGGAGATTTTCACTTTCTGTCTCTTGCTCTCTCTCCGACAAGTACATGTGCCCTATAGAAAAATCTCTTTAAAAAAGAAAGAAGAAAGAAAGAAAGAAAGAAAGAAAGAAAGAAAGAAAGAAAGAAAGAAAGAAAGAAAGAAAGAAAGAAAAAGAAAGAGAAAAAGAAAAGCATTTGAAATTCTGTATTAAGAGAACTGGAGAGTGGCTTGCAGTTTGCCTTTGGCATCCTAAAAGTCTTGGCTAAATTTATGTCGCTTGCTCTAACTCCCTTTTCAGAGGAGGAAGTTCCTTAGTTCATTTACCTCCTGCCTACTCTCTTTCCTTCTTTCTTTCTATCCCTCTTTTTTTTCCTTTCTTCCTCTTCCCTCTCCTTCCTTCTTCTCCATTCTCTCTTCCTTCTCTTTTCTTCTTTCTTCCCTCTTCCTCCCTTTCTCTTTCTCTCCCTTTTTTCTTCTACCCTTGCTTTTCTCACCTCTTTTTCTCCCTCCTCCTCTACTTCCACAACAGCACATGGTGGGCCAGAAATTGTTCTGGCCTGTCCTCTACTTTTCGTGTGAAAGAAGGGAGCTCAGAGAGGCAAGATGGTATGCCCAGCCTCTCCCAAGTTGAGTGGCAAAGCCCAGGCTTTTGTTTTTTTACTCTCCAAATGAGATGATCCCCAGAAGAAATGGGTAACTCACCAGATCATTCCTTGATTGAAGATCAAACCCAACACATTTCCACTAATATCAAACTCAGCATATGAGGGCTGGAGAGAGAGAGAGTATGTTAGGTGCTGTTGGTCAAACCCCACTACCAGCCAAGTGGCCAAGTCAAAGCCACTCCAGCCCCGAGAGCCTGCTCTGGTAACCAGAGAGGAACCTCAGATTCAAGCTTCTATATTTTTTAACAGGCTTTCAATTCTTAAAGAAAAGTTTTGAAGTTCTCAAAGATGAAACATCTTTTAATAAAAAGAATGTGAGAGTTTCTGTATTTTAGGGCCTGTGGCTGGTAAGCATGTTCTTGGGAGGACTCTGGCCCCTAAGAAAATCTTTTTTAAAAATTTTAATTGCCAGAGGATGTGTGCACTTAGCAGAGAGATATGGAGAGACAGAAAGAGAGAGAGCAGGCCAGCCAGGTGGTATAGAGGTTAAGGTGGCTGGATCTCACATGGTTGACTATGCATTTCAAATCCTGGACCTGGCAGCTTGAAAAACATGCCAGGCCCAAGTGTAGCATTCATACCCAACATCCCAAGAGAAGAGTGGAGAAGGGACTGTGGCATAGTCATACCCCCTGGAGGGTGCTTTCTTACTTTCTCTGTCTCTGACTATCTGTGTATCACTCTCAGGTACATGCACATGCTCTGTGACAAATAGAGAGAGAGGGGAGAGAGGGAGAGAGAGAGAGAGAGAGAAAGAGAGAGAGAGAGAGTCGTCTCCAGTGGGGTGTGGTCACGCTGCAATCCCTTCTCCTGCATTTCTTCATTTTGTGGGGATTTTGAGCATGTAGGCACACATGCCCAGCATGACTTCTAAGCCACCGGGACAAGGATTCAACTATGGTCAGCCATATGGAAACCAGCTCCCCTATCTTAGGCTATGGGGCTGGCCCCAAAAGAATTTCTTTTATAAGAAAATATACCTCAACATTATAATCAAGAAGTAACTCAAATAATAAAATACAAGAAATAAAATGAGTCAAATGAAAATAAAAAACCCCAAGTCATCCCTCCAACTCTCCTGACTCCATTGTCCTCCAGTTTATGAAAAGGAAAAAGCTCATCTTGATTTTTGGCATGACTTTGATGTTCAGGATTTTGGCAATTTGTCAAGCATTTGAAAGAATACAAAGTTTGTGAGCACTGAGAGCTGGGGCTCCTCATGAAGCATGCTGAAACCGAATTTCCAATTTGCCTTCTAGAAATGAAGAACGTTAAAGCGAGAAGAGGAATGAGAAGTTAGGCAGGGAAGGTCAGGCACGCTCGGCTTAAAGAGGGAAATTATCCAAGTCCATGAGGGTTAAATCTTGGGAATTTAAATTTTAATACTTTAAAATATTTAATATCTTATCTACTGGGCTTTGTATCCTGCTTAAAAAATCCTTCCTCGCTTCAAGATTTTAAGTTTATATATGCTTTCTTTTAGAGATTTATGATTTCATCTTTTTGATGTTTAAAATTCTTATTGACCCATAGGACTAGCAGTTAGTGTAATGGCTATGTTGCTGGATTCCCATGTAGTCGACCACGGTTTGAGTCCCGAACCCGGTGGCTTAAACTCACTCTGGGCGTGCGTGAATGCATGCCCAGGATCCCGAGAGGAGAATGGAGGAGAAGCAATTGCGGCATGGCCATCCCCTCTGGGGGGGGTGATTTTTTTCTCCAAAAAAAACCCAAAAAACAAAAAAACTCTTATTGACTCAGGGGCTGGCAGGAGATGTGGTGGATGGGGCACTGAACTCCCACATGGCCAATTGTGGTTCAAGTCCTGGACCTGGTGGCTTGCTTTCTCACTCCCCATCCACCTCTGGTCAAATTAAAAATAAATAAATAAAATTAAGTAAATAACCCTAAAAGAACAAATAACCAAACTCTTGTTGACCTACAATTAATTTATCTAGGTAAAATAGGTGAGAGATACAGTCTTCACCGTTTCAAATCCATTTCAAATCCCCTACTTGCACCTAGTGATTAACCAATTGTTCCAACTTACTTTCATATAATCCTTTTCCCACTAGTTTAAAAGGCTCCCTTTATTATAAACTAAATTCTCATGTAGAGTGTACCTATTTACAGATGTTCTATTCTCTTTTGTTGGTAAGTCTGTCTAGTATTACCCATTTTAGTCATTATAGGTTCGTAATATATTTTCATACAATGGTAGCATTGTCTCTTTCATTCTTCAGGGCCCTTACCCAGGCCAGGGAGGGACACTGCTCCTACCAGGATGAGAGTTCCATAGGTGAACAAGATGTGGAACCTTTCACCAGAAGCTCAGTTAAGGAGGAGGTTCCTCACCCAGACCCGTGACTAAGGGGCAGGCCAGAGAGATGTGGTGGAAGAGATACCTATGGGACAGACAAGCGAGTATCTAGCAGACCAAAAATTCTGCTAGATCACAGGCCACCCTGAGGAGGACATGACACGTGTTTAAGAATTCACAATTGTGGGACCAGCAGATGGTGTAATGGCTACATTGCTGAACTCCCATGTAGTCAACCATAGTTCAAGTCCTAGACCTGGTGGCTTAAACTCACAACAGGCGCGTGTGTGTGCATGCCCAAGATCCTGAGAGGAGAATGGAGAAGAAGGGATTGCGGTGTGGCCATCCCCCTGGAGGGTGATTTCTCGTTTTCTGTGTCTCTGTCTCTCTGTCTTTCTGGACCTCTCCAAAAAAAAAAGGAAGAAAGGAAGAAAGAAAGAAAGAAGGAAAAGAATTCACAGTCATAGGGAAGAGAAGTATCCTAGGTGGAGTGAAGAAGAGTCAAGAGAGATTTCTCAAAGTAACATCCAGAAGATAGGACAATTATTCTTGGTACATTCTAGGACTTCTGGAACATTCACATCCACCAAACATCTGCTCAAATGCCTTCATTTCCCAGATAAGAAGGACACGTTATTAATTACACTGGAGAAAAACAGGAAATACAGAGCAGAAACTGGCATTAAACTTCCACAGAAATGAAAGGCATAGTGAAGAATCTGACTGCAATTATCAAAGAGGACGGTTGAAACGCCTTTCTGCAGAGTGTCGGCAAAATAGTGACCTACAAATCCAGCCTCCAGGTCCCAGCACCAGCAGTAATTCATGAACCGGACAAAACAAGCCCGAAGGAAGTCCCCCAGCAGGATGGTGATGTACGTTACCAGCATGTCAGACACTGTCAGCCTCATGAATTCCTGCAAGGAGTAGAAAAGGTGGCCATCAGGGTTTGACCTGGCCCCCTCTTCCCCACCCCCCCACTGCAGCCACACAAACGCTCCCCACCCACCTGAACTCACCATGTGACCCTCTGATTTTTCATGGCAGAGTGGTAGTGCAGAAAAAAGATCCCTGGCTTTGAAAATGCTTCCATTATGGGGGGCCAGCAGGTGGCATGGTGGTTAAAGTGCTGGACTCCCACATGGCTGACTGCAGTTCAAGACTTGGACCTAGTGGTTTGCTTTCTCACTTTCTCTGTCTCATCAAATTAAAGAATAATAATGGGGCTGGCAGGTGGTGTGGTGGTTAAGGATGCTGGACTCCCACATGATCGACCATGGTTCGAGTCCCAGACCTGGCGGCTTGCTTTCTCGCTTTCTCTCTCTCTGTGTTCCTCTCTGGTCAAATTAAAATAAATAAGCAAATAAATAAGGTTAAAAAAATTAAAGAATAATAATGATAATAAAAAATAAATAATTCTTAAAAAACAAAAAAAAGACCGAATTGTGGGACCATCAGATAGTGTAATGGTTACATTGCTAGACTCCTACATAGCTGACTGCAGTTCGAGTCCTGGACCTGGTGGTTTAAAACTCACTCTGGATGCATAGGCGTGCATGCCCAAAATCCCAAGAGGAGAATGGAGGAAAAGGGATTGTGGAATGGCCAGCTTCCCTGGTGGTGGTGGTGGAGGGTGATTGAGGAGACAAGAATCTCTCTCTCTCAAAAAAAAAAAAAAAAAAAAAGAAAGAAAGAAAGAAAAGAAAAGACCCAATTGTATGGCTCTAAAATCATCTTTAATCTCTTGCAGTTGATAATGATATCGACCTTGCAGGATTAGTGGGAAGCTCAGTGATTATGAATGCAAGTGTCCTGGTACGCTGGCAGTACCCAGTGTGTGGTAGTTGTCATCACTATGCACCAATATGGGAACTGAAGGCTTGTCCCTCATTTGCCCACCTGCTCTGAACTGGCAGCTGCCCCTGCTAAGACCGAATCTGACCATCAGTCACCTGGATAGCAGCTGGTTAGTTTCACCTCCTGCCGACTGGATATTCTGTTGGCGTGTAGAGACAGTAATACAGGTTTTGTGCAGCGGAGCACAATACAAGAGCCAAACATAAAAGAACAAAATTTTCTCTGCTTCCATAGAGTATGTATAATTTATTAAATTTTGGGGGAATTGTAACAATCTACCTTTGGTAGAGTATGTATAATTTATTAAATGTTGGGGGGAATTGTAACAATCTAACTTTGGTAGAGTATGTATAATTTATTTTTGGGGGGGGATTGTAACGATCTTAGGTTGCCATCACAACCTAAGACCCTTATTATACTAGATTTAGAGAGTTCCTAGGAGGCTCAGGGTCTGCTTTATTCATTTCTGTGTCATTTTTGCATAAATGTTTTATATCATTTTTGTATCCATTTTTTAATTTCAAAATTATTTTAGTCTGTGCTTCTATTGTTAAAAACTGAAGACCACAGATGGAATAATACAATAAGAACAGAAGTTTATTTGGCTTACAGCTTGGAGGGCTAAGGTCAAGGAGTCACATCAAGGGAGTCTTTTTGTGGTGAGGATTCTGTAGTGCTGAGGTGGTGCAGGACACCACATGGCAAGAGGGCAGAAACTAAACCCATTACCAACACGCTCGGAAAGACGTGAAGGGTCATTAGTGATGGGGAATTGGTGGATAATCAGGGAAGAGTGAGAGATATCTTCCAAAGAGGTGCGGGAGCAAATGAGAAATTCTACAGCAGAATATTCCAAAGGAATTATGCTGGTAATGAACTCTTCTGCCTTCTAAAGAGTTTGGAAAGAGCAGGTGGGGAGCTGAATTGGTCAGTACATTAAAGACAGGAGGATTTGAAGACTGCGGGGGAATCTGGACTGGAGGAGACAAGAAGTGGCAAGTCTGAGCCACCCATGAAGGAAATGGGGAGAAAAACCCCAGCACCTCACGCAGCAGGAAAGACGCATTGTTGCACTTGCAGGCAGTGTTGCGGGTACGTGACGTAATCCTCTCCTCCACGGCACTTCATCATCCTCAGTTAAAACCATATGGAGGGGGAACCAGCAGTTAGCATAATGGCTATGTTGCTGGACTCCCACGTAGTCGACCATGGTTCACATCCCGGACCCAGTGGCTTAAAACTCATGCCAGGTGCGTGTGCGTGTGCGTGCGTGTCCAAGATCCCGAGAGGAGAATGGAGGAGAAGGGATTGTGGCATGACCATCCCCCTGGGGAGTGATTTCTCGCTTTCTGTCTCTCTGTCTGTCTCTGTCTGTCTGGTGAGCGCACGCGCCCTATAGCAAAAATCTCTCAAAAAAAGAAAAAATATGGAGGGTCAGCAGGTGGTGTGGTGGTTAAGGTGCTGGATCCCACATGGCAGACTGCAGTTTGAGTCCAGACCCAGTGACTTGAAAATCATACTGGGCACTTGTGCATGTGTGCCCAAAATCCTTAGAGGAGAATAGAGGAGAAGAGACTGTCATCATCCCTCCTGACCCCCGCCCCAGGGGCTCATGTCTCACTTTCCCTCTCTCTCTCTGTCTCTTTCAGATGAGTGCAAATGTCCTATAGCAAATTTTAAAAAGAGATATAAAATAATGAAACTACCAATGACATGTATTTGATATGAAAAAGGATGGTAAAGAACTAGCAAAATGCTAACAAGGGTTGTCTTGGGTTCATAGGTTTTTCATTTTACTTTCCTCAACTTTCAATATTTATTTAATGAAATAGGTGGAGTGAGGCAGTGGTGCAGCCATAATGCAATCAGAACCACATAAGAAAGGTTCCGGTTTGTATCCTAGGTCCTCTGTGAGTATGCTGGCTGAGGCGGGGGGTGGATTGTGGTGCGAAGACCCTGTTGAGAATGCCTGTCTCTCTTTTCCTCTCCTGTGGAAGAAATAAATCATGCCTTTTGTGAGTGGATTTTTCAGGGACTCTGAAGAAGCAACACAATCTGCATCGCAGTGGGGTAGCAAGTGAATAGAAATCCTATGTGAGGAGGTGGAATTGAGGAAGATAAGGTAGCTGATCGCTGTGTTACCCATGAATATGTCAGCTTACTGCCCAGGAAGGCAAAGTACAGTTGGTTCTGATGTCCACACTGTGCAAGCCACAGAAATGGCAGTTACAGGGCATAAGAGAAAATGATAGCTCTTAATTTTTGAGACTCTAAGAAAAACTGTTCTTTCTCTTCACGGAAAACTGCATACATGCATAAACATATAAAATTCTGCATCTAAGTTTTCAGGGAATTTATTAATGATTTCCAGGTTAGCAACCCCAGGCTTTAAATAAAATCTGTAGTAAAACTCTGAATAAATCCAAGAGGTATTAGAACAACATGCAGAGTATACTAAGAAACTGTGGGGCACTGAAAAAAAATGGAGGGGGGCTGGCAGGTGGCATGGTGGTTGAGCCGTTGGACTCCTACAGGGCTGACCACAGTTCAAGTCCTGGACCTGGTAGTTTGCTGTCTCACTTTCTCTCTCTTTCTCCCCACTCTCTCGTCAGATTAAGTAATAATAATAATTAAGGAATTCTTTTTCTTTTTTTTGGAGAGGTTTTTGCTATAGGATGTGTGCACTTGCCAGAAAGACAGAGAGAGAAAGTGAGAAATCACCCCCCAGGGGGGATGGCCATGCCTCAATCCCTTCTCCTTCATTCTCCTCTCGGGATCTTGGGCACGCACGCACATGTGCCTGGTGTGAGTTTAAGTCACCAGGTCCAGGACTCAAACTGCGGTTGACTACATGGGAATTCAGCAATGAAGGCATTATGCCATCTGCTGGTCTCAAAATTTAAAAAGAAATTATTAAAACAAAAAAAAATGGGGAAGTGAAAAGGTATAACTTTCCTAAGAAACACTGGTTTGGAATTTGGACTGTAGAAACAGAAACATCAAGAAAGGAATAACAAAGGGTGTGTGTGTCACCTTTTCAGAGAGTATAACTACTCACAATGCCCACAGCTGTCTCCCAGCAAGAACCCCGGGGCACATCGGCAGGATGCAGGGGTGGCCGGGGGACACTCTCATTCCAACCCGAGGAGTTGTAATAGTTAAACAGAGTCCAGTGAGTGATGTTCTTTATTGTCTCTTCATTAGAGAGCTAGGACAGAAAATGGAGATGCTGGGTTGGAAAGAGCCAGCCAGCGATGGTCCAACCATTGCCATAGGAACAACAATTAAACACATGCCACGACCCTACCATCTGGCCTCCTACCCCTGGATAGAGTCTTTCCAGAAACGTTCTCCCTAGGCTTCCAATCTGTACAGGAGAGGGGAGTGACTGGCTGAAGTCCTTGGGTCTTTGCCATGAAGTTATATTCTCCTCTGTGCTAGTATGTGTCCATTGATCTATCCAGCCATCCATTGATCTGTTCAAGCATCCAGCCAGCCAGCCGGCCGGCCAGCCAGTCATTCATTCTTCTTTTGAGAATAATTTATTCAGGGTCTATTCTGGGCCGTGATAATACAGGAGTGACCAAGAAAGTCCATAGTCTAGTAAATCAGAGAAATGAGCAGACAGGTAATTACAGAACAGAGTAATAGGCATTGTGAGACACTTTCTCTAGGGACCACATCAGGCAACGGAGGCCACAGAAGACTTCCTGGAGGCAGTGACATCTGGGCCAGAACCTTGGGAGGTTTAACTAGTCAACTGGTTAAACATGGGAAGAAGGACAGCCAGAGAAAGGCAAGAGAGAATTTTGCCCTGAAGAAGAAATGCAAGACTTAGGAGAGTGGAGCAGTCTCCTGGGGTAGGAAGAAAACCATGCTTAGACTCTCCCAGTTGTTTCCTCTCAACCTCAGGAAAAGGTTCCTCCAGCTTCCTAAGGAAGAAGGGAGGATGGAGGAGAGGAGCATCATCATCTGGCCCTTCCGTAGTCTAATAGTTCAGCTTTCCTCTCCATCCATGGAATTTGGCCATCCTGCAGTCTCCTCTTTGCCCCAGCTGTTCCCTCTGCTCTTCCCTGGTGGTTCAGCCTTGTGGTTCCCTGGGCTGGTCCCCACTGAAGCACATCCCATGATGTGCTGTAACAAATGAATCTTTCTCCTGGCCCAGATTGGGACAGGACTGTGTCTTGCTCTCTGCTGTCCCCCAGGGTCTGGCACAGTGGGTGCTTCATAGCTGTCTAGTGAGCACTGATGCTCACCAGAGTCACCAAAGACATATTGCCTCACTGGACAATGACTTGATTGCTGATCACTTATGGCAGCTGTGTAATCACATAAAAAAAGCTGCAGATATGGGGCCAGCAGGTCATTTGGTGGTTGGGGTGCTGGATTCCCACATGGCCCGGACCTGGAGACTTGCTTTCTCACTTTCTCCCTCTCTCTCTGGTCAAATTAAAATAATAATAATACTAAATAAAATTTAAATAATTTTTTTTAAAAAAAGCTGCAGATAAAATATGTAGCTATGTAAATGATGATGTGAAATAAAGACAGTCTCAGAAAAAGACAATAAAGAACTGTAGCAAAATGACAAGAGTTGTCTTTGGGACACAGACAACTGGGATGTTTTTCATCTTTTTTCCCCTCAACTTCCAACATTTGTTTAATTAGCATGAATTATACATAATGCAATTATTATATTAAAATATGGTGGGACCCAGGGGATAGAGGGTTTGCGTTTTTACCTTGAGGTGGACGTCATCCATGAGGGCCAAGAGAAATGTGTAGAGATTCCCCAGGAAGAGGGCAAAGATGCGTCCCAGCTGCCACTTCAGTCCAATGCGTGGGTGGTAATTCTCCAGGGCAGCGATGGTTTCAAACAGAGGGGGACAAAACATCCCAAGCAGGGACATCACGATCTCCACCTGAAAAATCAAGAAGGCCTGGGTTACTTGTGTCATCAATATTACTTGCTTGGTCACCATCCCTATGCCCCCTGTGACTAACCATCCCAATCTCCCTACTGACTCCTTCCCTCCTCTGCTTCTGGAGGTGCCCAGCAGTCTGCACAACCTGGTGTGGGACACTGGCTGAGGCATCAGCATTCTCTGAGAAGTCAGCCTATTCCTGGACACTATAACTGCTCCACGACTGGTTGCTGTCACAATTGTTGCTCTTTGCATGAATAAAAACGACAAACTTTCTTTGAGGAGCAAATGAATGAACATATGGGGCAGTGCTTTGTGGTGTGGAAAGCTGTAAGCTGGGCAGGTGCTATGGTGGCAGCTCTCATCGCAAAACCATGGAAAACAGGAAGCTCGGATCACAGAAAGGAACTAACAGCAGAAGTCAGGAGTGTGGCATTTGGAGTCAGCTCTCTGGACTCGTGCCCCAGCTCTATTACTTGTTGGCTTTGTAACTCAGAAAAAGGTCACATAACTTCTCTGAGCTTCTTGTTTTTTCTTGTGTAAGATGGTGACAGTAGCCACAATCGGGGGATTAAGAAGAAATAATGTATGTAAACCTGCTAGCCTGGAATCTGGTAAGCCACAGGCACTAAATTTTGACTCTATTTCCCAGTTCTCCCACCCTACAGAGGGGTTCCCAGTGTTCTTATCTTTCCCATCTCCTAAACCAATTCTGACCGGTTCAGGAACTATATTGGGACCTCCAATCCATTGTTGGGAATGCCCGAATTGACATCATTGACATCCAGATTCACTGATCCAGGGTAGGTTAGACATAAGTTTAGATGTTCAGGAATGAGGCACCATAGAGAGACTTGGAGTCAGGTAGACACTGGGTCCTAATCCTGATGCCACTGCTAACAAGTTATATGTTTTAAACTTTCTAGTCCTCAGATAATTAATCTGGAAACTAAGAATAATGATGCCTATTCCTGCCAATGTGCTATGAGGCATTAACAAAATAATCTATACAGTGCCAGGCCTACTGTGGGCATTTGTTTAATAATTTTCTTTTGTGTCCTTCTCTTCCTCATTTCTTGAGCCCCTACTATTATATTTGTGAAACACTATGCTAAATTCTGGAGATAACAACAAATAAAAAAAGACACACACATATCCCATGTTTCTGCATTGGAAGAATTAATAGAGTCAGGATGTTAATCCTACCCAAATTAATCTAGAAATTCAATGCAATTCCTATCAAACTACCAGAGGTATTCTTCACAGAAATAGAAAAAAGCAATCATAAAATTTGTCTGGAACCATGAAAGCCCTATATTGCCAAAGCAGTACTGCACAAGGGGAATCAAGTAGGAGGCATCTCACTTCTTAACCTTAAAACATATTACAAAGCTGTGCTAATCAAAACAGCATGGTATTGGCACAAAAAAGAGGCAGATAGACCAATGGAATAGAATTGAGAACCCAAAAATAAACCCCAAAACATACAGCCAACTGATCCTTGACAAAGGGCACAACACAATCCAGTGGGAAAAAGAAAATCCAGTGGGAAAAAGAAAGTCTCTTCAGCAAATGGTACTGGAAAAACTGGACAGCCACCTGCAAGAGAATGAAACTGGGCCCCTACCTCTCACCACTAACAAAAAAACAACTCAAAATGGATCAGGATCTAAACATAAACCTCAAACTATAAAACTACTGGTAGAGGGGCCAACAGGTGGCATGGTAGTTAAGGTACTGGGCTCCCATTTGTCTGACTATGGTTCAAGTCCAAGATCTGGCAGCCCTCTTTCTCACATTCTCTTTCCTGGTCAAGTTAAAAATGTACTACTACTGATCAATAAAATTAAATTAAATATTTCTAAAAAAATATAAAAAAAAAACAACTACTGGTAGACAACACAGGAGAAACTCTTGGAGACCTTGGAGTAGGCAAAGACTTCTTAAATCAGACCACCAAAACACAGGCAATAGTCCCCAAAATAGACAAGTGGGACTACATTAAGCTAAAAATCTTCCGGACAGCAAAAGAAACAATGATTAGAGTGATGAGAAAACCCTCAGAGTGGGAGAATATTTTTGCAAACTATTCCTTAGGCAAGGAACTAATAACCAGATTATACAGGGAACTCAGTTTACCTGCAGAAAAACAAAACAAAACAAAACATTCAATCCAATTAAAAGATGGGCAAATGAGCTGTATAGACAACTCTCCAAGGAAGACATATGACGGCTGAAAAGCATATGCAAACACGCCCAGCATCTCTTATCATGAAGGAAATATAAATCAAAACCATGAGATACCACTTACCCACAGTCGGAAGGGCTAAAATTTTAAAAATAAACAACGGTAAGTGCTGGTGAGGCTGTGGTGAAAACGGATCTCTCCTACACTGCTGGTGGGAATGTAAATCAGGACAAGCACTTTGGAGAACAAAATGGAGGTTCCTCTGTAACCTACAAAGAGAATTACCGTACGACCCAGTAATTCTACTCTTATGTATCTAAATAGGAAAAACTCTCAGTTGGAAAAACATTTGCACATCCATGTTTACTGCTGCATTATTTACAATTGGTAGGACATAGAATCAATTCAAATGTCCAAAAATAGATGAGTGGATTGAAAAAATGTGGCATATGTACTCTATGGAATACTACTTAGCCATAAAAAACAATGAGACCCTCACATTGTCAGACTATGAAAGACAGGTTTTGTATGTCCCTGCTCAATACATACTGAGTATCTGTGCTCTACAGCAGTACTGAAAGATCGGAAGGAATAATAGCAGGGAGGACAACTGCAAGTACTAGAGATATTATGGGGGGAGGGGTAATAAAGGGTGAGTAATAGGGGGAAGGGAACAAGAAAAAACAACACATTTAATTCACACAAAAAATGAAAAATTGCTTGCTGCTGCTAATGTATATGACAAGGTCTTTGTCTTGACTGATGTGCATTGTATTCGTTCTGGGAAAAATCATGCTGTACACTGTAAGGAGGTATAGTGATTAAATGTAATTTATAAATATATATATATATATACACATACTCTTTCCACAAAGGGATTAGGATGGATGAAAAGAATTACATAACTAGTTAATCACTAGAAAGGTAAAACATGTTACAAGGGTAAGTTCAGAAAGTGTGTAATAGAAATAAGGATATAACATTTAAGCTCAGATAAGAAACTTCTGAAGTGAGCCAGGAGTGAGAAGGAGAAGGCGTTTCAGTAGAACAAGCAGAATGCCAGTGTATTTGCAGCTTAGTGAAGACGGAAAGAATGACTGGGAGTGTGGCTGGGGAGGTGTTAAAACAACTGACATGCTAATTATAATCCAGCTTTGTTTAGTTACAGAAGCCAGAATCCAAAGCCTAATAACATAGGATATAAGACGTCTATGTGACTTGCTTGAAAGAGATGTATTTTTCCTTTTCCTTTTCTTTCTTTTTTTTTTCTTTTTAAGGTTTTTGCTACAAGGTGTATGTACTCGCCTGAGAGAGACAGAGAGATAATGAGATGGAAAGTGAGAAATCACCCCTAGAGGGGATGGCCACACTGCAATCCCTTCTCCATTCTTCTCCTGGGATTTTAGGTGCACACACATGCACCTGGTGTGATTTTCAAGTCGCCAGGTCCAGGACTCAAACCATGGTTGGCCACATGGGAGCCCAGCACTTTAACCCCTATGTCACCTGCTAGTTCTGAAAGAGACGTATTTTCATTTATTAAAAAACAAGTCCGATAATTCAGACTTTCAATATTCAGCTGAACGGCATAGACCAGTGATTTCAGTATTTGCCCCCAACCTTCACTTCATCAGAGATGTCCTTCTTACCTCATTCCTTTCATACCAACTGACATTCTGCATTTTGGAGAATTCCTGGGATCGCTTCACCACAAAGTAAATGAGGTACCCACTTCCGCACAAACAGCAGATGATGAGAAAGTTGGCAAGGACACGAAGAAATCTTGTTAGATGAATATTTTCTTCTTTGTTACTCTCTTGTTCATCCACTATGGATTCCTTAATGTATTAAAATGAGATGTGAATAATGTCAGGCCAGGGATTAATAGGAATCATAATTGTTGGGTCTCTGAGAACATTACTTTCTATAATTTCATAAGTGAATAATACAGAGGAGATAATGTAATGTATTGTACCCTTTGCAGAATTATTTTCTTTAAGAGAATATATTTGTGGGACTAGCAGATGTTGTAATGGTAATGCCGCTGGATTCCCACATAGTCAACTGCGGTTTGAGTTCCAGATCCTGTGGCTTAAAACTCATGCCAGGTGCGTGTGTGTGTGTGTGTGTATGTGTCCAAATCTCAAGAGGAGATGGAAGGAAAAGGGATTGTGGCATGACCATTCCCCAGGGTGTGTGTGGGGGTGATTTCTTGCTTTCTGTCTCTCTGTCTCTCTGTCGCTCTGATGAGCACATGCACCCTATAGCAAAAATCTCTCTAAAGGAAGGAAGGAAGGAAGGAAGATTGTTATCATTGTTGTTACTGTTATTTTAGTACGTATAATAAAAAACAGATATATTTATTGAATACTCATCATGTGCCAAATGTACTAAATACTTTCCATGAATTATCCCTCTTAATCCTAACAACAAATAGAGTAATTACTATTACTACCCACATTGCAAATACTAAGGCTCATAGAGATTTTGGTAACTGATTGGGATTCTTTTAAAATTATAGACCAAACAGATTCAAATGAAATCTTAACAATATTGAATCTTCTAATATGGAGGTCAGGAAATGTTTTCTATAAAAAGTCAGGTAGTAAATGTTGTTGGCATTACAGGTCATATGGTCTCTGTTACAGCTACTCAACTATGCCATTGTAGCATGAGAGCAACCATAGATAAGATGTAAATAAGTGGGATTGACTTGTTTTAATAAAATTTTATTTATAATAGTAGGCAGTAGGCTGGATTTTGCCCCCATGCCATTATTTACTAACTCCTGTTCTAATCCATGAGCATGGTATATCTCTCCATTTATTTAGAGTTTCTTCACTTTTTTCAGCAACATTTGGTACTTTTTGGTGTAGTAAGCAGTCTTGTATATTTTTGGGCTTTTAACTTATTCCCAGAATTTGTTTTGCTACTACTGGAATTGGAATTAAAATCATTTTATGCTAGTATTTTGAGAGGGTTTTTTGCTATAGGGCGTGTGCGTTCACCAGAAAGACAGAGAGAGACAGAGAGACAGAAAGTGAGAAATCACCCTCCCGGGGGGATGGCCATGCCACAATCCCTTCTCCTCCATTCTCCTCTTGGGATCTTGGGCATGCACGCACATGCGCCTGGCGTGAGTTTAAGCCACTGGGTCCGGGACTCAAACCACGGTTGACTGGAAAAGTCATATTTTTTCATGCAAAAATGCATCATGACTTTTCTGACAACATAATATAGAAAGATTAAATTGATTTTTAAAATTATTAACCTTGTGTTCTGCATTAATAAGTCTCTTTGAAATACAAATAGTAAGTGGCAGAGTTAGAATGGAAAATGAGGTCTTTTAGAAACAAAAGTACCTGGGAGGGGATTCTTCCAACTAATTATCAGGTTCAGGTTCAGGTTTAACTATGCTATCAGGTAGTTAATAGGTTAACTCACATTATTCTCAAAACATCTGTCCTGTAATATATGTGTATTATGTCTGTTTTTAATAGACTCAGAGAAATCTTTCTCCTTTTCAGATGTTCAACAAGCCAGGCCCCATAGGCATTGACCTCCTTTGTCTCTCTCTGGTCGACCTGGAGGAAGAGTCAAAGCCCCAGTCATCCCTACTCTGCCATTGAATGCAGGTGGCTACAGGCTCTCAATCGCTGTGAAAAAAAGAGGAGAGGAGAACTGAGTCAGCTCCTTGTTCCACCTATGGCCAAGCCAACAGAATGTTGGGTCTCATGAAAGCCACATAGTGAGTTGTTGAGCCCAAGCCTTTTACTTAGTGGTGTCCCTGTTGTTTGTAGGCATCAATCAATGGGCAGCAGCCCACTCATCCTCTGAGAAAGGGGTGAGAGAGGGAGCAGCGATTAGTGTAATGGCTATGTTGCTGGACTCCCATGTAGTCAACCGCGATTCGAGTCCCGGACCCGGTGGCTTAAACTCACGCCAGGCGCGTGTGCGTGTGTGCCCAAGATCCCGAGAGGAGAACGGAGAAGGGATTGCGGTGTGGCCATCCCCCCTGGGGGGTGATTTCTCGCTTTCTGTCTCTCTGTCTGTCTGGCGAGCGCACATGCCCTATAGTAAAAAACCTCTCCAAAAAAAAAAATAATAAAATAAAAGAATGTTATAGCGAGAATAGAATCTGTGTCCTAGACTCCTCCTAGAAGCTTACTGGGCTTTTAAAAACAATGAATTACTGAAAGGTTTGGTTTGAATACTTAGAAAGACAGAATGACATATAATAATTTTAAATTCAATGATACTAAGGGGACCTTGTAACAAATATGCAGTTAAGCAATCTTTCAACACACACACATAGAATTTTTTTGTAATGTACTATTTTTTTATTTGCTTTTTCTTCTATTTTATAATTTATTTATATATTTTTTTGAAATTTTTGAAATTTAATTTATTTCTTTTTGTATATACATTCAATCGCATTGTTTAGCTTACAATGTGAGCATTTCAATAT